TTGATCAGTTAGTTGATGAAAATGTTATGACCAGAGGCTCACAGGAACCTAACTCTATACTTCCCCTAGGAACAAAGGCTCACTATTTGCTAATTCATTGCTCCCAATGCCTTCATAGAGCTTGACTACCAAGATAATGAAAATCAACTATATATGTATATACAACATGGAAAGATATATATCAAGATAATAATAGTGATTTCTTTTCTTTCTTTCGTTCTTTTCTTTTCTCTCTAGAATGCAGTTGCTTTTCATTCTTTTATGCTTTTCCAGATGTTTCTACCAGTAATACATGTAATGTATATAATTGAGGAAAAGTTAGTTATATAACAAAATGTAAGACCCTGAAAAATTGATCATGCCAATTAAAGACCTTAGCAACATTCAGGAAGACATAAAGGTAGATGCTAATGTTTCTGAAGGTACTAGTGGCATAACTAACCATATAAAAGAACCAACTAAGTGAGTACTGGTTCTCTCCCTTTGGAAGTGGAGGCTAGTATAAGAAGATGCTGAGTAGTACAGTATTGTGCTCTCTCTTGAAAACAGAACAAAACTTCATTCTATACATTGTCAAATACACGGAAGGGAAAATCCTTGCTGGCTTGCCTCATCTCTGAATGAAGTTCATTGGCCACCTGGTAGCTGAAAAGGACCTAGAATGCCTGACTTGTTCCCACACTGATGTTTGTAGTGGAGAAAATAAAACTGCTGTGGGCGTTGCATAGCCGCTCAATCTCACACCCCAGAGTGGTCAGGTTAGGCTTTAGGTGAGTGTGTAATTTGAAAATCTATGCTAAGACCATGAAAAAAGCATGTCAGTATTGTGACTCTGTGAACCCCAGGGTTCCTCTGGGGAATCTATGTTGTTAACACTTCACCCTCACATTTGTCATAGGCAGTAGCAGCTGTGGCGGCATTTTTTCATCCTTGGTTTGTTTTTGGCTCCCCTGAGACCCATATAGAACACACCTCCCATTTATAGCAACTCTTCTTTTGCAAAGGATCCCACAGGGCTTCATTAATAATCTAGCCCCAGAGGTCACTGCTGCTGCTTCTGGGGCAAAGCACTACCTGACAGCACACAGATACCTGGGATAGTCCTTTGAATTAGGAAGGAGAGGAGGGGCCAGACCTGGTGGTTCATGACTATAGTCCCAGCACTTTGAAAGGCTGAAGCAGGAGAATCCCTTGAGGCCAGGAGTTCAAAACCAGCCTGGGCAACATAGCAAGACCCTGTCTCTACCAAATTAAATAAACAAATAATTTATAAAAAAAAGAAGCAGAGGCTGGGTGCAGTGGCTCACACCTGTAATTGAACCAAGATAGCGCCACTGCACTCAGCCTGGGAGACAGAGTGAGATTTTGTCTAAAAAAAAGGTTTCCACTATAGGCAGCTCAGGAAAATTGCATATGACCAGCTAACCTGGAATTTAGGCAAGCATTCTGACACTGACAAAGAATTAATGGCTGTCATTGGCTTTGAGGTGTCAGCTTCACTCTGAGTCCAAAAAACATTTAGAACAGGTAGACTCCAAAGAATAAACTTTTTTTTTTTTTTTTTTTTTTTTTTTGAGACAAGGTCTCACTCTGTCACCCAGGCTGAAGAGCAGTGGTGTGATCTTGGCTCACTGCAACCTCTGCCTCCGGACTTCAAGTGATTCTGATGCCTCAGCTTCCTGAGTAGCTGGGACTACAGGTATATGGCACCATGCCCAGCTAATTTTTGTATTTTTGGTAGAGACAGGGTTTTGCCATTTTGGCCAGGCTAGTCTCAAACTCCTGACCTCATGATCTTCCCACTTCGGCCTTGGTACCACCTGGTAGCTGAAATGCAGGTCTTTTTCAGCTATGTCAGCTACTCGGGGGGCTGAGGCTAGAGAATCACTTGAGCCCGGGAGGTGGAGGTTGCAGTGAGCCAACATGATGCCACTGCACTCACTCCTGCCTGGGTGACAGAGCGAGACTCTGTCAAAAAAAAAAAAAAAAGAAAGAAAGAAAAAAAAACACAGCTGGACATTAGCAAGGAAAGACTACATGAAAAACCTGAGGTCATTTCCCTGCATCAAGCAGGGAAAACACAAAGCAATTAATGTGAGAAAAAAGGAGGATGGTAGCTCTAAAGGAAAGGGAAATAGGGGTTATTATCCTTTTGATGATCACAGGCCAAGCCCTCTTTGGCAGGAAAAGGCTTCATTAACTAAATGGCCTGGAAGCTCTTAACACGGATGACTCAAAGAAAATTTGTTTCTGGGCAGGAAGAATAAAGTTGATTCTTCTTCATCAGCTGAAGAAAATTGTAATCCCAGCACTTTGGGAGGCTGAGACGGGTGGATCATGAGGTCAGGAGATCGAGACCAGCCTGACCAACATGGTAAAACCCCGTCTCTACTAAAAATAAAAAAATTAGCCGGGCATGGTGGTATGCACCTGTAATCCCAGCTACTCAGGAGGCTGAGGCAGGAGAATTGCTTGAACCCAGGAGGAGGAGGTTGCAGTGAGCCGATGTTGCACCGATGCACTCCAGCCTGGGAGACAGAGTAAGACTCTGTCTCAAAAAAATAGTAATAAAATGAGAACCAAAAAGATCTTTCAAAATAAACATTTCTTATTAACTAAAAATCAATAAGAAAATGAAAACTCAGTAGAACTATGGGCAAAGAGCATGAACAGGCAAGTCACATACACAATACAGATTGCTAGAAACATTAAGAGAGGCCCAACCTCCCTTATAATTAAACACTAAAACAATGTGATTATCTCTATCAGATTGGAAAAGACTTTAAAATTGATAATATTCAGGGTTGACAAGAGGATTGGAAAACACAAATGGGGAAATACCCTCACTGGGATTGTTAATTAGTACATTTTTGGAGAGAAACATAACAATTTTTATTGCATTTTTAATGTTCATGCCTTTTGACTCAACATTTTTATTTCTAATAATTTATCTTACAAAAGTGCAAATGTTTGATATGTAGTATAGATTGTTCATAATTTTTTTTTTTTTTTTTTGAGATGGAGTCTCGCTCTGTTGCCCAGGCTGGAGTACAGTAGTACGGTTTTGGCTCACTGCAACCTCAGCCTCCCGGGTTCAAGTAATTCTCCTGCCTCAGCCTCTCAAGCAGCTGAGATTATAGACGCCCACCATCGCACCTGGCTAACTTTTTGTGTTATTAGTAGAGACAGGGTTTCACGATGTTGGCCAGGCTGGTCTCGAACCCCTGACCTCAGGTGATCCACTCACCTCCACCTCCCAAAGTGTTAGGATTACAGGTGTGAGCCACTGAACCCAGCCTGTTTATAATATTTTAAAAACCTAGAATACGCCAGGCACAGTGGCTCACACCTGTAATCCCAGCACTTTAGGGGGATGAGGCAGGCGGATTCCTTGAGTCAAGACCAGCCTGGAAGACATGGGAAAAATGAAAAAACCCATCTCAACAAAAAAAAAAAAAAAAAAAAAAAAAACCCTGTATGCCAGGTGGAATAACCCAACTGTCCATTACTTGAGGGTGTTTAAATAACTATGGTGCTTATAATGAAATGCTGCAGAAATGCTATGAAATAGCATATGACATATCTTAACATAGAAGGATGCATAAAGTAAGAGCAAGATGCAAAGCTGTATGAATAGGGTATGGTGGTGTTTATGGGTGACAAAAATATCCTGGAATTAAATAGTGGTAATTAGTTGCATAACATTGTAACTATACTAAAAAACCACTGAATTATACAGTTTAAAATCGCTAAAATCATACATTTTATGTTGTACAGACCTTCAATTTTTAAATAACAGTATGAATAATGTGATCCCATTTTTTTATGAAAAAACAATATTTTTTAGTATGTACATAGAAGAAAAAACCTGGAGAGACATACATTAAGTAATTGGTAGTGATTATCTCTGAGGGTGATAGACACAGTATATTGTTAATATCCATATTGTATATATCTGTAATGTTTGAAATGTTAATAAACAGCACTTAGAACTTTCATATCCAGAAAAAAAGATACTAAATTACTTGAAAAGTAGAGAAAGAGGTCTAATTATCTGGGAACAAATAACTGAACCAGTAAAAAATTCCTTTCAAAGATAACTCAAAATAACTATTTCAGTGGGAACTGCATTATTTCAGAATCATAGGATTGTAAAGGGGTTTGTTTTTTTCTTTCTTTGTGTGTGCGTGTGTGTGTGTGTGTGTGTGTGTGTGTATACATTTCCTTAATAAAGAAAAAGGAGAACATGTACATAACCTTCTTCAATGTAGTTAGATGCTAAAATTTAATCTTCATTGAGACTGAAAATGTAAACACCCATTTGTTTGGGAGGAATTGGTTACTAAAGTCTGTATACCCTGAATTACACTTCTGTTGCCAACCAAAGCATCTGCTGGGTTCTGACCTTCAGACGATAAAAGGAACTATTAAGACTTATGATCAGAAGATTGGGATTCTGGTTCCAGCTAAACCACTCATATGTCATGTGAATAGAGGTAAATCCTTTAACCTTTCTAGACCTCCGTTTCTTTCTTCTAAAAATGGGGAGATGTACTGAAAGAGATCAGTATATGTCATCCCAAAATATGTCACTTTGGCATAAAGATTATTTTGAGCTAAAGGCAATTGATGCAGGAAAAGTTCTCCACCCTCCCTTTATCTGCCCAAAAACAGGGCATAAATTTTCCTTTGAGGAAGGTACCCCTCTGTGCCAGGAAAATGAGAATGACTCATTACCAGAGATGTCACACCAAGATGACTCCTCATAAACAAGCCCTACTAAAATAACCCTTATCTTCCATTAGTTTCCTTCACATATTTTCTAGTCACTTCCCACAATATTTGTCCCTTGAAGGCCAAACCCTTCTTCTTTTGTTAAGAAGGGTATATAAACTCCAGGTTCTGGCCATATGTAGTGGCTCACACCTGTAATCCCAGCACTTCGGGAGGCTGAGGCAGGTGTTAAGCACACTCTGAATGAAGAGACCACCTAAATAGGCTTTGTGTGAGCAACAAGGCTGTTTATTCACCCCGGTGTGAGTGGGCTGAGTCAGCAGAGGGTGGCAGGATAGTTGCTGGTTTTATAGGGTTGGGGGTAAGTAATGGAAAGTCACAGTTTAGGGTGGTTTTGTGCAAGCGTAGCGGGGGGGAGGGTGGGTCACAGAGTCCAATGTCACAAGGTTGACTTATCAGTTGAGGCAGGAACAATGGTAGAATGTCACAAAGTCAGTTAATCAGGCCACAGGGTCCAGTGTCACAAGGTCGACTTATCAATTGAGGCAGAACAATGGTGGAATGTCACAAGGTTGGTTAATCAGGCAAGGCAGGAGCTAGCTATTCTTCTCCTTTTGTGGTTTTCTTGTTATCTCAGATTCTCTGGCTCCAGGAGGCCATCTGGAGGTGTACATGTGGGTCACAGGGGTCACCATGGCTTGATTATGGTGTAGTCCATGGTACAGTCAGTTTGAAGAACCTTGCATTCCTGCCTTTTAATATTAATAATATAAAGGTAAAAAAGTAAAAACTAGAAAAAGCAGGGGGTTAGTGAAATTTTGGGGGCAGTACAGAGGGGTGATGGGTGATGTTTCTCAGGGCTTCTAAGGGCAGGATTGGGGGCAGCGTGGAAACCTAAAATAGGCCAAGAGATTTGGGGGCTAGGGGTTTGTGGGGTTGTTAGAAGGAGCATTAGCTGGATTGGCTGATTGGTTATAGCTTGGATACAATTTTGTAGGAATTGAGAGATTAGTTGGAAAAGACAAGGTCCAAATAAGAGAAGGAAAATGTAGCTGTTAAGGGGTCTTCTAATGGAAGGAGCCATGATACCCATTAAAGAGTGGCCAGCTAGGTCCAGAATAATAATTTGCCTGATTAGCGAGCTTTTGGGTCCTGTCTTTAAGTCTTTTGATGGCATCATATACAAGGCCGGATTGGTTTAGATAAAAGCATTTTTCATTTAGGAATAGGCAGAGTACTCCTTTCTTAGCAGTTAGTAGATGGAGGCCTTGGCGATTTTGTAGGACAACCGCAGCCAGGGAATTAACTTGAGCTTGGAGGACAGATAGTGTTTGAGTTATATCTGTAATTCTGGCAGAGAAATCATTAGAGAGATTGTGGAATGTGGTGATGGAAGGAGTAAGGGCTGCTATACCTGTCCCGATTGCAGCAGTGGAGACTCCTAATCCTACAAGCAAGGAAATGAATGGAATGACTCTTTTTTTGTTGTGTAGGAGTTACAAGGGGGACAGGGAGGTGTTCATTTTCATTGGCAAACTGGATTTTGGGAGTAAGAAAGATTAAGGTAAAGCTGCCTGTCCAGTTAGTTGGAAAGCAGATGTAGGTGGAAGAGCCACAGAGGAAAAAAAGTCCTTGGCTTAAGTAGAACTGGAAGTGTAAAATGAAAAGGTAAGAAAGTGCTTTGTGGGAGCTGGGGTCTTATACCCAGATACCAAGGGAACCAGCAAGAGCCATGGCTGTTAAAGGTTGCAGTGGGGTTTGGTAGGGTAATTATGTGAAAGGAGAGGTCTTGCTTTCATGGTATATGAGAAAGCATTTGGTATCTATGAGTAGCTGTTCACTTTCATTGACAAGGTTAGGTATGAGCAGGCAGGAAGAGGGTCTGGAGGAGAGTCTGATGAACAAGGGGAGAGCAGCCAAGGAAGGAGTGAGAGACAGGGTAAATGCCTACCTAGGCAAAACTTGCTATTGGCATTCTTAAGAGTGCTAGTAATGAGGGAGGGCCTTTTCATAATGCAAAGCTGGTATGTTCCTATTTCTTGGTTAACGTGGGTGACAGGGCCTTGCAGGTGAAGTGTAAAGGAACACGAAGAGGGTGGGAGGTCTCCTAGGGGAATTCCATTAGGTGGTTGCTGGGAAATGCATAAGGGAGCAGCAATAGGGATAGTTGTTTGTGTGGTTAGTGGTCCAAAAACAGGGGGTGTGGAGTTGACACAAGGGGAAAGATTATATAGGTAGGTGCGAAGAAGAGCAGCAGCCTATTGGCATGAGGTATCTGGGGTGTTTTGTTGAATCTTTCTAGGAAGTAGAGGAGTTTTCTGGGGGATACAGGGGGGTTGTTGAAGGAAGTCCAGAGGTGTAAAAAGATGGGAGAGTTTGCCCAGTCAGCTGATAGTGTGGGGACGGCTGTGTAAGAGGAAGAGGAGAGGGAAATGCATAGCCAGCAATCTCTGGCTAAGGAAGGGTTTGAAATAGGAGAGAATGGGTTAGGCTGATGGTATGTAATGTGGACAGCCCTGCTATTCCTGTCCCTGTAGCAGCGGCAATTCCTAGTCCTATTAGCAGAGGTATTAGCTGCACAGCTCTGCGCTGACAGACCTGGGCTTTAACGGGGACTGGTAAACTTTGGTTCCCTGGGGCAATGTCTGTTTTGGGGCTTAGAAAGAGTAGGGTGCAGGTGCCGGTCCAGTTATTAGGGTGGTAGAGGTAAGTTGAGGTTCCGAACAAGAAAAATATTCCTTGGCTGGGTGAGCAGAACTGGTTGTGTATATTGAAGAGGTGTGTGAGTTTATTATTTTCATGTTCCTATACGCTTAGGGTCCAGTGAGTGGCTGGAAAGTGGCTGTTGGGGTAATGTGAATGGCTCCATTTGTTTTGTTTTTCCACCGGAGGAGTTACCATTTTGTATCTACTAGGAGCCATTCAGAGGAGTGATTAAAAATGGGTATAAGAAGGCATTCATTGGTTGTGGGAGCTGTGTTACAATGGGTCCAGGGGCGAATAGTCATGCAAGGGGTATGTCTGCCAACACAAAACCCTGACTGTCTGTTAAGCACAGAGGTGGTACTGACTTTTGGGAGTTCTGTAAAGCAAACAGGTGAGCTAAATGAAGCAGTTTGAGTGACTAGAAAGTTTTGATGGTTGGGGCTTGGAGTGATAAGGTAAAGTTGCATTGATGCGGTAGTAGGTGGCCAAGAGGTAAGCCTGAGGATAGATTGCATTGGAAGCATAAAGGAGCCTGAAAAGTTAAATCAGTATTTGTGGTCACAGAACCATGTATGGGTTTTTTACCAGTATATGGAGTGAGGGTGGAAATGTAGGAGCGCAGAAGCTGTACTGCGCGTCCTGTCAGGGTATGTTTGGTCATGTTACTGATGGAGAACTCGGCTAGTGACTGCATATTTAAAAGTTGAAGGGGCTTTTTCCTTCATAGGGAGGGAGATAGGTTAGGCAAGTAAGAACCTAAGACTTTGCAGGGACGGGAGTGGAAGTATAAGTTGTAGCTGATAGAGAGATGCAAAGCCAGCAACCTTTTGCTAGGGTTGGGTTGGATTGGTTTAGCAAAGAATCGGTTAAGGGTTTTGTAGAGATAGTGGGGAATAATAGGAAGGGGAGGTGCAATTATGTGGAGCAGCCATGGGAGCAGGAGGAATAGGCAGACAAAGAATGAGGAGGAAAGTAAACAGTTATACTTTATTGGGGGAGAAGTTACACAGGGTACCTTGGGAAGGAAGGTTATTTATTCACTTTAGAAGAGCGTTAAGGGTGGCAGCCTGGGAGTGGAATCAGGAAATGTCTTGGCACACAGAATGGAGGAAGAGGGAGAAGTGGCAAGATAGACAGGAGGAGGGCATTTAAGTTTCCTCAGGAATTCGGGTAAGTTTCAGAGAAGTTGGGGAGAGTATAGGGGTTTGGCACTACAGGATGGATAGGGAGCATTATCTGATTAATAAGGCAAAGGTCTGGGACTAGCCTGTAGGACTTGTCCGGTTGTTGGACAGGTAGGATGGGGGTGTTGTAGGGATAGTTAGTGGGAACTAAAAGGCCATGTTGTAGTAAGCGAATAGTAACAGGCGTTAGGCCTTTCAAGGCTTGTGCTGGGATAGGGTACTGGTGCTGAATGGGATAAGGGTGGTTAGGTTTCAGGGGGATGATGAGGGATGACTGACTCGTAGCAAGGGGTGCGGAGGTGGTGTTCCACACCCCAGGGTTAAGGTAAGAGGACATAGGGGAGCTATTGAAGGAGGTATGGGTTCGGGGAGGAGGGCAGCAATGAGGTATGGCTGTAGCCCAGGAACAGTTAGGAGGCAGACAATTTTGTTAGGATATCTTGGCCTAACAGGGGAACTGAACAAGTGGGGATGATTAGGAAAGAATGTGGAAAGGAGTGCTGGCCTAGTTGACACCAGACTTGGGGAGCTTTGAGAGGCCTGAAAACCTTGCTGTCAATTCCCACAGCAGTTATGGAGTCCAAGGAGACTGGTCCTTGAAAGAAAGGCAGCGTGGAGTGGGTGGCCCCCATGTTGACTAAGAAAGGATTGGACTTACCCTCCACTGTAAGAGTTACCCGAAGCTTGGCGTCTGTGTGATGGTCCAGGGGGCCTCTGAGATGCTCGGGCAGCGTCAGTCTTTAGCTGGCAAGCCGAGGAGATCTGGGAAGGATTCAGTCCCAGGAGCTCTGGGAGCAGCCACATGAGTCAGACAGTCCAACTTTCCGTGGGGCCCCCCGCACAGATGGTGCAGGGCTTAGGAGAAATCCTGGGCTGCGGGTGTTCCTTGGCCCAGTGGCCAGGTTTCCAACACTTGAAGAAAGGTCTGGGAGGGGCAGCTGGACGCTGCAGCCTGGGCATTTTGAAGTATTTGTGAACCAGTGGTGTGGCTGGGATGTGTCTTACAGCAGAGGCAAGCATCTGTAGTTCTGAGATGCACTGCCTCCCGGCAGCTTCTTCCCTATTATTGAACACCTTGAAGACAAAGTTGATTAATTCCTGTTGAGGGGTTTGAGGGCCAGATTCTAATTTCTGTAGCTTTTTTGTCATGTCAGGGGCTGATTGAGTGATAAAATGCATATTAAGCATTTTTCAGGAGTAAGAGAAGTAAGGATGACGTTTAAGTTACTCCAGGTAAGACTATAAAACTGGATTAAGGCCGGGCGCGGTGGCTCACGCCTGTAATCCCAGGACTTTGGGAGGACAAGGTGGGTGGATCACCTGAGGTCAGGAGTTCGAAACCAACCTAGCCAACATGGTGAAACCCCATCTCTACTAAAAATACAAACTAGCTGGGCATGGTAGTGCATGCCTGTAATCCTAGCTACTTGGGGGCGGAGGCAGGAGAATCGCTTGAGCCTGAGAGACGGAGGTTGCAGTGAGCCAAGATCATGCCACTGCACTCCAACCTGGGCAACAAGAACAAAACTTCATCTCAAAAAAAAAAAAATACTGGGTTAAGTATTGAAATGTTTGTATATATTTAGTAGGATCTGATGAAAAGGAGCCTAACCATTGGCCAATTTGGGAAAGGTCGGATAAAAAGAAAGGAACGTGCACCCTAAAAATGTATTTGGCTCCAGCCACCTCTCAAAGGGGAAATTGTTGGGCAGGGGTGAGGGAGTTAGCCACAGGACTAAACTGTAAGCCGGACAGGGTATGAGGAAGGGAGGTGACAGGAGGGGCATAAGGAGGTGGGCTGTGGGCAGAGGAAGAGAAAGAAGGCTCTGTTGGAGAGAGGGGTGGTTTAAGGGCCTGGATTAGGGCCTGATTCGGACAGGCGGGGAGGAGAAAGATTGAAACGGTCAATGGACAAGGAGGATTCTAAGTCACTGGTGGAGGCAGGAGGCGCAGATGGAAGGGAAAGAAGGAAAATTTGGGATGGGTCACATTGACAGCAGAGATTAGGGAGGGATCTAAGTGTAAAAAATGCCTGGACATATGGCCCTTTAGACCATTTGCCCATTTGTCAACAAAAATTGTCTAGGTCCCGCAGAATAGAAAAATCAAAAGTGCCGTTTTCTAGCCATTTGGAACCATTGTCTAATTTGTATTGGCCGTATTGCAGAAAAAAATGAGATGTTTAGGTTTCAGATCAAGCGACAGTTGAAGAGGTTTTAGGTTTTTTAGGACACAGGCTAGAGACGAAGACTGAGGAATAGAGGACAGAATATTGCCCATAGCAAAGGAAGTAAGTTTTAAGGAGAGAAGTAGAGACAAGGAGAATGAGAGCAGCTAGCAGGGTTTTCAGTAGGCATCCCTGACTGAGTTCTAGGTTGTAACGTGGGTGAGCGATCAAAGCAGGCGTCCCTGCTATTGACCAGACACCAAGGGAAGCCTGCCTTCCCGAATTCATGACCAACATTGGAGTTCTGAGCACACGGATAAAAAGTGTCTCCTTTGTCTCTAGAAGGAGAAGGATTCAAAGGAAAAGAGAGAGAGGGAGAGACTGCTTACCCAATCTGAAGGTGGTAAGAGGTTGTTGGGCTTGTCTGATGCGCTGAGGTTGCAGGTGGGTCTCTTCACAGAAGGAAAGCGGGGACAGAGGGCTGGTCTCCCAAGGGAGTACCCCGTCCTAGGTTTTGGCACCAAATGTTAAGTGCGCTCTGAATGAAGAGACCACGTAAACAGGCTTTGTGTGAGCAATAAGGCTGTTTATTCACCCAGGTGTGAGTGGGCTGAGTCAGCAGAGGGTGGCGGAACAAGAGCTGGTTGTATAGGTTGGGGGCAGGTAATGGAAAGTTACAGTTTAGGGTGGTTTTTTGCAAGCAGGGGCGGGGGTGTCACAGGGTCCAGTGTCACAAGGTCAACTTATCAGTCGAGGCAGAACAATGGCGGAATGTCACAAGGTTGGTTAATCAGGCAAGGCAGGAGCTAGCTATTCTTCTCCTTTTGGGCTTTTCTTGTTATCTCAGACTTTCTGGCTCTGGGAGGCCATCTGGAGGTGTACATGTGGGTCACAGGGGTCACTGCGGCTTGACTATGGTGTAGTCCATGGTGCAGTCAGTTCAAAGAATCTTGCAGTGGATGGATCACTTGAGGTCAGGAATTTGAGACCAGTCCAGCCAACATGGTAAAACCCCAACTCTACTAAAATAAAAAAATACAAAAATTAGTAGGGCATTGGAGGGTATGCCTTTAGTCCCACCTACTTGGCAGACTGAGACAGGAGAATTGCTTGAACCTGGGAGGCAGAGGCTGCAGTGAGCTGAGATTACACCACTGCACTCCATCCTGGGCGACAGAGTGAAACTCCATCTAAAAAAAAAAATTCAGGTTCAGAGCACATCTTTGAGTTTTCACATCATCTCTGTGAAGCTCCCATGCACTTAAAAGTTTTTGCTTTTTGTTTTTAAGACAGAGTCTTGCCCTTGTTGCCCAGGCCAGAATGCAATGGAGTGATTTTGGCTCACTGCAACCTCCACCTCCTGGATTCAAGCAATTCTCCTGCCTCAGCCTCCTGAGTAGCCGGGATTACCGGCGCCCACCACCACGTCCAGCTATTTTTTGTATTTTCAGTAGAGACAGGGTTTCACCATGTTGGCCAGGCCGGTCTCCAACTCCTGACCTCAGGTGGTCCACCTGCCTCAGCCTCCCTAAGTGCTGGGATTACAGGTGTGAGCCACTATGCTCGACCGCATTTAAAAGTATATTAATATCAGGCCAGGCGCGGTGGCTCAAGCCTGTAATCCCAGCACTTTGGGAGGCCGAGGCGGGTGGATCACAAGGTCAAGAGATCGAGACCATCCGGGTCAACATGGTGAAACCCCGTCTCTACTAAAAATACAAAACATTAGCTGGGCATGGTGGTGCGTGCCTGTAATCCCAGCTACTCAGGAGGCTGAGGCAGGAGAATTGCCTGAACCCAGGAGGCGGAGGTTGCGGTGAGCCGAGATCGCGCCATTGCACTCCAGCCTGGGTAACATGAGTGAAACTCTGTCTCAAAAAAAAATATATATATATATATTAATATCAATAAAAATCATATCTTTTTTCCTGTTAATCTTTCTTTAGTTAAATTTGCAGGCCTCATTCACTGAAACTAGGTGGGTAGACAAAATGTTTTTCATCCTGAAGAGTACGACATAGAGTGGTAACCTTAGGTGCTTACGTAAGAAATTGAAAAGCCAATCAAAATACTACACTCAGAAAATACCATTTAGGGCAGTGCATATTATTTTATATAATCTTAAAAGTGTCTGTTATGTTGTTCAGCCCTAAAGAGAAAGAATAAAAATAAATAAATAAATATAAAAAAGTGTTATGGCAACTAAGCACAGAGACATGGCCAAATAAATGTACATGTTTGTGAGGACAGACATTAGACTGTATACTTACATGACATTTTGAAAACCTAGAAGTAAAGTATTTATAAAAAAGTGAAGGCTGGGTGTGGTGGCTCATGCCTGTAATTTCAGCACTTTGGGAGGCCGAGGCAGGCAGATTACTTGCAGTCAGGAGTTAGAGACCAGCCTGGCCAACATGATGAAAACCCCCCATCCAGACTAAAAGTTAAAAAAAAAAAAAATTAGCTGGGTGGGGTGGTGGGCACTTGTAATCCCAGCTACTCAGGAGAATCACCTGAACCCAGTGAGCCAAAATCATGCCATTGCACTTCAGCCTGGGTGTCAATGAGACTTTGTCTCAAAAAAATAAAAATTTTTAAAAAAAGAGTGAAAAACAAGGACAAGCTTAGGGCCCAGATCTCCTTCCCACCACTTCCTTCCAAAATGTTGGCCTGTGATACTCACAGCTACAACAACTTCTCTTCAATACCTAGATATAAATCTTGTTCAATAAAAACAATTAGCAGAAGAGAGAACATTCAACAGTTGCAATTACCTAAATGTCCCTCCAGTAACTATTTGAATGACTAAATCCTCTACATTGATTGTTTCAGTGAATGATAATTAAAACCAAATAACCTCTAGGCTCATTTGATTTCTACAGTGACAAAACTAAACCTCTAGACATTATATTACAAAGCCCTGAATTGAGCCAGGCAAAGCAAAACAAAAGTACAAGGAGAACTGGGTGGTGAGTGGAAGGGTGCTGGTACACACTAGAGAAGAAAGAAGACAATAGACCACCCTTCACAAGCACATTTAACTTACCAGTAGATGGGTGAGCCCTGCAACACCACTCCCTAGTCAGGGAGACTCCTTCCAGGCTTTGTATGTGGAATGGTGTCATTAGATTAATAAACTGCTTCCTGCTGTTTCCTTCATGTTCCATAAACCAACATGCACCTCACTTCTGCCCTCTGAAACATTGCTTTCCTTATTGTTGAATCCTTTACCCAATTCCATAAGGCCTACTGGGAATATTGTTTTGGGCTTAGACATATGATTAAAGACTTTGTGGGGTTTTTTAAATCTAAGGTAAGAATTTTGCAAGACATTTCTGCCAACCCCATTTCAACAATGGACTAAGATTAGATAGGCATTGTTTACCATATTTATAATACAGAGAGAGAGCGAGAGAGAGCGCGCGCGCGCGCACGTGATTAAGTTAAAGCAGGGATTGTGTCATACTCAACATTGTGCCCTCAGAAGTTAGTGAAGCACACAGTAAGTTCACAAAAATTCTCTTTGAACTGAACTTAACACAAAGTATATTGAATTAAAATCTATGCCTAAAAATATTAATGTACAAATTATATACTTATAAATCATTCCAAAGCGCTATTTGTTGCAGTTTTTAAATACTTAAAAAAGCAGGTAGGCAGACTTGATAAACTGTTGCTCTATAGGATACCTTAATACAGAATCTCAGCTTTCCTCTGCAGGACAAGCACTTCTAGGTAGAAGTCAGAGTCAAAAGTTTGGGTAGTTCAGCACCTTCTGTAATCTATCAGTGAATCAACCCTTAATAAAGCACTTACTATGTGCTCAGCATTGTTCCAGCCACAAGATTAGAATGGGGAATCATCTGGGATCAGCTGAAAATATAAGAAGGCTCCTCCCCAGTAAACTCCAAATTACCCCCTCAAGCCATATTTTCTTGGAATTTGGCTAAGAATCCCATATGTGCAAGCAATGTATTTTCAAATAGTACAATTTTCATAGCCTGAGTGTTTAATAGGACCCACATGTAATGGCATCCATGATGCCCTAAAATAGAGAAGGTCACAAGAGGCCAGGTACAGTAGCTCACACCTGAAATTCCAGCACTTTGGGAGGCCAAGGCGAGTGGCTCACTTGAGCC